TTCTCATCAGATCGAAATTGATTGAGAGCTGCAAACAATTGTTTTAAATAATCGGGGTCTTCATATATTACCTCGTCGGGGAGACTTTTCGATTCGGCATCTTTATCTTTGCAATCGTCAGCGGAAGTTTCACACTGGCTAATTAAAAAGGAAAATAGTGTGTATTGCAAGGATTTCAGAAATAAGTTTTTCTTAAAAACGCACTACGTGAACTATGTCAATCATATATTCTTCCATTAAATAAATATTTCTCATCGCGTCCTAAACAGCTTAACTGAAAACGAGGATTGCATTTTGGTGGGAGAGAAATATTTTACAGTTATTTCGAAAGGAAATTGAATATGTTCATTATAGATTTCACTCTCAACCCGAAAAGACCCGGACCACATAACTATCCTTTTCAAATAGTAGTAAAATAGATTGCAATCCAAGATTGGAATAATTGATTGACAGATTGGATTGTTGTTCTCTTGCTTGGAATCCTTAGCAATGCGAAATGGAGGAATCGAGCAAAACTTCGGAATCAATTTAAATTATTTTTCATGAGACTTATTACTATTCTGTTGATTGTCTGGCCTGGCCCAGCTTTAAGCTCCATTGACAAAGCAGAAAAATAGGGCCGCGAGTGGATGCAACTTATTTTGACTTCTATTGTATCCATCTATCTAGCCTTATGCCAATTTCGGATAACTTAGAAATATGTTTCTGCTGCTATGTAGAGAGCACGTACCACTTATTCGACATTTTCACGGAAAGCCTAAATTGTTTGTTAATATAGTCTTTTACTTTGGCCTGCTTGCTATAATTTTTTTTTTTTCTAATTTTCGATTTTTACTAATTTTAAAATTTTTCAGCCGAAACGATATGTGAATAAAATTTGAACGGAATGGTTATATTCAGACAATGAGACAATCAATCATATTACAACAATAATGGGAAAAAGTATGATTAAGAAAAAACAAAATGACGGAAATAGAATTAACAAGTTACCAGAACACAAAAACAAGTAAAGTTGTTCTTGGTTTTAAAAAATTTGATATTATTATAGATTCTATGTTTTATTAAAGGCTTCGACGAACCACCATCGGTTCATTTGTAGGATAGATATTAAAGAGGACAAGGATAGCAACACCTATGAGAAAGCTGATCAGGCTCGTAATAATAATATATATATATATATATAGATATATGTATATATGTATATATAAAAAAAAAAAACAGTTTTAAAAAAATATTATAAAACTTGTTTAAGAAATTGATCAATAGGTAGTGGTCAACCACGTTACACATTTTAAAAAACTTTATACTTGAATTATGTCAATCATGCATTAAATATGTCTCTGTTCTATTAAGTTCTTCTTCTTCAATCGAATCCGTTAAAAACGATTTCTGCTCTCGGCGCTAATGATTCTGGACCTCGGCGCGCCCATCTCATTACTATCGGATGAAAATGTTGCCTACAACTGCAGCTGGGAGATATTTCCTTTTCGCAAGCTTTATTCGGTTAAATACGTCTCACCACAAAAAACTTTCTTTTCATTAAAAAAATTAACAAATATAGATGCACATATTAACGCTGCTCCTTTTTTGCTCTCTTTCTGCATTTAACTTCACAGTTATCGCCGCGTTTGCTCCTACAGAGCCAAGCAAAGTCCTTTGCAATAATTGCGCAGAAATTTACATCTTCCCGATGTCGTATTTAAACTGGCCGAAGTATCTTTCATAAATGCGATCAATTGCATGTACGAGATATACACACAATTGTTTGTTCTCCTCTTTTTCTCTCTTTATTTATTTAATTGCACGAACTTTATTTAATCGCCAGTTAATAATTTCACATTTGCGTAATTGGAACAATTGTAGCTTAATATCATAACTACGAATATTCTAAATATAGGATTGGTATTTCGAAAGCATGCGTTCGTCTGTTGTTGTATGTCAAGCATTCGTCCTTTTCATTTCAAGTTCTGCTTCTTAGTCGCCCTTTGCAATCTCTGCGCCCATCCACCAGCACCAGGTATGTCGCTACGTTCGCCCGTCCGTTAGCTATACAATTCATCTTACGACGATGCCTTTGTCCTGATACTTTCAATTCTCCCTATCTCAGAAGAACCATCATAACAATGCCTTGTTAACATTACGTAACCTCAATAATTAACAGGATTTGTAATGAACGTTTTTCATTTATTCGCCTGAGTGATCGAGTAGGCAAAGAATCTCGACTAACGGTCGCGGCCACCTTAAGGCCGACAGCCTTAGATGCTAGCGCTTTAAGATTATAGTCTTGGAATTTATTCTCTGGTTAAATTAATAACATGTAAAAAAGTTATATTCAGTTGAAGGCGAATCTCCCATATCCCCGTCCATTTAAAAATCATTGGCGTCCGATGCTTTTATTTATGGTCATAAAAGAGTCAATGGCATAAAATGTATTTTTCACCTTATACTCGACTAAAATTCGTTGTTAACAAAATTGAATCGTGGTGCTCACCACAATTAATTTAGAGTTAGCGCACTTAGCATTTCGCGTCCTACCCTCCAAGCTCTTTTGTTAGCTATCCCTGCACTATTTTTTAGCAAAAATTTATCAAATATATTGTGACGTAACATTCTGTCTTGGGAAAAGAAAATTTAATAGGGCATGGCCGATTTTTGCCAATTTTGCGCACAAATAATAGGGTTTTACGTAAAGTAAATATGAAACATATCGTCCTTCTATTTTTTAAATTGTTTTTACCAAATTTGCAATCGATATCTTCATTTTTGTGAGCTGGAGTGTGTCAACAGCACAAACCACACAGGCACGCTTATACGCAGAGGCACAGATATGGTTGAATCAATGCACAATTTTATGCTGAAGCTTCCTTTCCGGCATTATAAACATTAAGACAAAACGAGTAATCATCCTTTAGTGATGGGTATAAAAAGAAAAAAAAGGAAGAATATTTTTTTTTAAATAAAGCTGAGTAGACGAGCAAGGAAGGCGTCAACAACTCAATGGTCGTGAATTCATATCCCAAGTGCGAAAAAGTTTTCAATAAAGCCGACAACTTTAGATGGAAGTGCTTTAAGACTTTAGCCTCGGAATTTATTTCGCTGGGTCAATTAATAATAATAACAACATTCCACGTATGAGTTAGGCAGATGTCCGCGAACTTATCGGACACGTCTGCCTTGAACAATTGCTGACGTCAGGTAACTTACCTTATTACGGTTCAGAGATGATCTATCCTTTTTTCTTTATATTCTTATGCTTTTTTTTTGTTTACAAAAGAACGCAAGGAATATTGTACGAAGAGTTTGTCGGCTATGCAAACATCACGGCCGCAATGAAATATGGGAAATATGCTTCAAAGGAAGAAATATGCGCTTTGAATCAGAGTCATAGCATAGGTTGCTTGTTCTTCTTCCTTTTTGGTGCAGGTTGCTTGTTCTTCTTCCTTTTTGGTACAGGTTGCTTGTTCTTCTTCCTTTTTGGTGCAGATTACTTGTTCTTCTGCCTTTTTGGTACAGTTTGCTTGTTCTTCTTCCTTTTTCGTACAGTCTGCTTGTCCTTCTTATTGGTGTAGATTTTTAGTTCCTTGATGCATATTGAAATTCTTTTGCCTATCCAACAATAAGTGAATTGAAGCATTGGGATGTGCTCGTCATCTAAACACTGGCCACTTGTAATGTTGTGCAAAAAGATGAGAAAAACAGATAAGAGACATGAACAATCCTGACTATGCGCACGTTACAACATAAAAAGAATGGAGTGCTCTAAAGGTCTACTAAAAGACTATACTAAATTTGTTTTGCTAATGTTTTAAATTTTGATCACAAATCAACTGATTCTATTTTATTTATCTATTTACTTATATTACCCGCACTTTCTTATACAATTCATAGTCGGTTTTTTGTTTTCAAGAGTTCCCTTTTTCTTCTCCCAACATCTTTCAGTAATAGATAGCGAGAAGCGTTTTGATCAACATACGGTTCTAGTCGATTATTAAGATCTCTGAAAAATTGAAAAGACAGACAAACGAATTAGTGGATAAAATCGCTAAAAATATAGTTAGCTGAAAAAAAACTCGAAAACAATGCTTCAATCGGAAATGATTATTTACCGCTTTGCTACACCTGGCTCACTTAGTAAGCACGCATAATCACATATGCAAAGTTTAGCTCTCGCTTTTGTATTTAGTTGTTTGCCAAACAGCTAAGCTATCAAGCTAGGGTGTAGACAATAATATATAGGTATACATACATAAATATTAAAAGATATTATTATTTTATATTATTTATTTACTTATTTCTATCTTGTTTTAGAGTAAAAATGAAGTTCAACTTTCTGCTCAGCGCCTCGTCGTAATGTAAGATTCGCTGTATGTCGTTGGTAAGTTTATGTTTATCTTTACTCATTATTATTTCTGATTTATTCATTCCTTTTTATATTATTTTAGATTGAAAACAAGCAATACGCCTCCACGCATCGCTTCAGCGGAATGCGATACTTCCGTAGATCATCATCTTTATATATAAAATTTAGTAATCGGAATATTTTTCTTTTGCAGATATCAACAGAGCGGGATAGCAGCAAGCCTTATTTATTTATTTGTATTTTTTATTTATTATGTATGTATATTTTGTGTAAACGGGGCTTGTATTTATTTGTTATATAAATAATATACTTTTAGCTATAATTTGATCTTCTCAAAGCATTTCTTTGTAAGAAATGATATGAAAGATAAAACGCAACAATCAGCCCCAGCGAATGACGAAAAGAAAAATTCCATAGACAACGATGTACAGACATTCGATGCATTAAAGGGGCTAGCTTTCAGCTACGTTCTTACCCAAACAAGATTTCATATTTCATTGTTTATCTGCTTTATATAAGCAACAACTTTTTTAGTACAGTGTAATATTTTGCTGACTACTCTATCCTTTAGTTTCTACTTATTTGTTGCTCTTATTCACGCAGTTATTGTCAATTTGCCTTCTCTGAAAAACCATCGCTAACACTAGTGTTTTATTTTATAAATTTTACTAATTGCAGTACTTAACGGATCGCAACGGATGCGACTATAAAGTCCATTTTAGAGGGTGCGGAGAATCTTTCGAATTTATATTATTTATTAAAAAATTGTCATGAACAGATTAATTAAACATTAATATTTTATAATGAATTTCAAAACTTGGTCAGCTGTTGCGGGAGTTTTTATTGGTTGCTGCAGTAATGTAATATTCTTAGAGTTACTGATTAAGTAAGAATGATTTTCATCTTTACCTGAGCGAATAATTTTAATAAAACATTGTATTGTATCGTTAAAGATATGATCCTGGGTCCGGCAATTTAATAACGTTTTCACAATTTCTCATCATAGCCATTGAGGGCTTCATATTTACTTCAAAATTTGGTAAAGTAAAACCTGTAATTGGTCTCAGGGATTACGGTATCTTGGTGCTAATGTTTTTTCTTACAAACGTTTGCAATAACTATGCGTTCAATTTTAATATTCCTATGCCGTTGCATATGGTTTTCAGGGCCGTAAGTAATGACAATACATATTTTTCAATTATTATTATTTATCCTCATATTATATTTTGTTTTTTAATAATTAAAGGGTTCCCTAATGGCTAATATGTTAATGGGCATTGCGATATTGAAAAGACGTTACGTCATTTCCAAATATTTATCTGTCCTCTTAATAACCGTGGGCATTGTGATGTGTACATTAGTTTCGGCTAATGAAGTGGTAACATAATATATAAATATATTTTAATGAAACCAATGTATTGTAAAACTAATATAATTCGTCTTAGGAGGATACCAGTAATCCAAAATTGAAATCTACAGCAGCTAAGAATGAAGAATATTCCGCAATATTTTGGTGGACGCTGGGCATAATCATTTTAACTATAGCTTTATTAATATCCGCTTGTATGGGTATATATCAAGAATTTTTGTATAGAAAATATGGAAAAAGATCCCGAGAAGCTTTGTATTATACGGTAATTTTATTTGACTTTAAAAAAAAAATATTTTGCAAAATTAGCTATTCATCACCCTTACCCAATATGCAGAATTTTTATATTTTATTAAATGTGGGCTTAACAGTTGGTTTTTTGACTAAGCATTTTACACAATCTGCAGAAAGCATTTGCATCAAGAAGCATCAATTTAATAAATCTTTTAGGTTTCGTAATGGTTTCTACTCTATTTTAGGCTTCTTCGCAGGCGAAATTCATCCCTTTTCTCCCCAAAGCTGCACACGGCGCTAGCGTTTTAATGAAAGAAGCATCCTAAAGAAGCTGTCTTCTTTACATACTATGTAGAAATCATGCCTGTTCCAATCCAAATTTTATCTTTGACCAACTGGGAACCTATACGCTTGGATCATTCCATCGTAACTTTTGGAACACTGCATACTGAATATTCCAACAACCAACGACGAACAGACATTTCTCAATACGCTTATGCGTGTTATGCTGATGCCTTACGTGTGCTTTATAACGCTTTTGATAGACATTTCTGAATGTTGCAGATGGTTGGGAAAATGGTTCGGTGTTTAGCGTAATTCTCGTATAAAAGGTCCCTACTACTGAAACCATTTAAAGCAGAAAAATTCAAGTTCTAAATTCCAATAAATTTAAGTAACGTATCCTGCCTTTGGAAAAAACATTCAAACCAACAAAGAAATTCTTCATTTATACTAAAGCCTCATTTTTGTACATATGTGCATGAAATACTTGTTAATAGAACCTAGAAAAATAGTTGAGTAATTGATAAAGTATACTTGGATCAAAACGCAAAGGCAAATTACAATCGCAGGCAACTGCAAAGAATTGGGAGTATACATATTCTATATGCAAATCATTTAAGTGAAGCAATTTGATTCTTGTTATAAGAGGATCACGAAGGTGGTGACACTTGTCACTTCAATATATTTTTATTTCAACTCACTGTGCGTTGATAGTTACTTTCTGGATTCGATTTTTTTATATGAATTTTAAAAAATGATCGATTTTTCTTTTTTCAGCATCTTCTACCGTTACCCGGCTTTCTATTAATGGGCTCGAATATATGGCAGCATTTCATTATAAGTGTTGGCAGCGACCCGTTCAAGTTATTAAATATCAATTTATATTTACCAGAACAAATTGTTTATTTAATTTTTAATATGATGACACAATATGTATGCATAAGTTCTGTTTACGTTTTAACGGCGGAATGCACCTCTTTAACAGTCACACTAGTGCTTACATTAAGAAAATTCGTATCATTGTTAATATCTATAGTGTATTTCAAAAATCCTTTCACTCTTTACCATTGGATGGGCACAATATTAGTTTTTACGGGTACTGTTATATTTACTGAGGCTTATCCAAAAACTCTATGGCCTCTCGTTACGCGACAGGGGTATAGTAATGATCATAAAAAAGTAAAAACAAAATAGTTAGATTTTTTTTTATTCAAAATATCATATAGGCACAAATGCGTAGATCAAAAAGTTCCGTACTATTATCATGTAACATATTTTGTGTAAATAGCGCAATAAAATTGCTTTTTTTCTATATGCAAATTTTGTAATAAACATAAATAAGTGATTTGAGTATCGTTTTACTGCTAGTATGTGTTTTTCGAGTGCAATGATAAAATCAAATCATACCCGAATGGCTCCATGTGAAGTTAGGGGCAAATAATTCGAATCCTTGGTTTAGATATGGAAACTTTTTAGCGAACATTGAATGGATGCGAAGGCTTAAAAAGTCAAATGGCATTTTGCCGGACCCAAGCTGGTAATGTTTACTCATGAAGTGACATCTCAACTCATAAAGTTGAATTCGCGGGGACAAAAGCCTTCATATAAATTAATCCAACCTACGTTTCCTTTTTTTCCTCCATCTCCGCAAATTCTAAATTTTCCCGCTTAAAAGAATTTTTAGTGTATTTTTTTTTCGGTTCGTGCCAGAGAAATGGATAAGGACTGTAGATTCTGAGGCTTGTACACCAGCAATGTGAGATGAAGGAATTTTCCCGATGAAAACCAATCAAGCTGTACAAGCGTAGCTGAAAAGATGGCTACCAAAAGTAGTGACCTTTCTTTTCCTGAGTATTATAAGTAAAAAGTTGTACATATTGTACATATCTATAATTCAATTAATGTCCTATTTTATTATGATATGGTGTTATTATATTATTCAAATGTTCTGTTATTTCGTTCTTTTATAAATTCTGTTATTCTTCGATCCCTTTATTTTGTTGTTTCATCAAGCATGTCGAAGTTGACCATTGCTAAGCTTCTTAAAATTAGGCAAAATTTATTATATGCTATCCTTTCGTTGAGTAGGTTTTTCTCTAAATTTTCGATCATCTCATGACAAAGACGCGGTGTATTCACTTGGGATATGGCGAAGAAATTGAAAGAAGACAACCGAGGAATCTTTAATTATAGCTTCCGTTAGTTGACCTCGACCTATAAAGGCACTTAAGCTTAATAAAAAGAGGGGTTCGGTATTCCGGCACAAGTGTACTACTTCAGCTTACGCCACAATAGTAATCTAATTTCCATAATTGTTTTATTTGCAATCAAAATAATGATCGGAAAGCTCGCATATGATAAATAATCTTCCTTAGTGTAATAGATGCAAATGTACATTCAATTCCTCGAAATTATTAAACTTCATCTAAAGAGAACGGTTTGTTCACTTTTGGGCCGCCAATTGTTGAGTATAAACAAAACAATAACTTCTGCTTCTTTCCACATTATTGTATTACGTATCGCAAATTAAATACGATATTCTTGGGTACAAGAAACTGCCAATAGTTAACAGCAAACATACATATATACATACATTATGTTTCCAGTAATTTTTATAATTTTACGATCAAACATTTTTGCTTCGCTTTGGTAATCAATGAGAGATAAGTAACGATTTTCAGCATTTATTTTTGGAATTTTTTAATTTGATTTCTGGTAAGTATTTGTTATCGAATGTTTAATAAGTCAATGCATGCTCCAATTCAGACTAAGTATTTTTATAGCAAAATAAATCCAACTAATGACTTTCAAGGTGACACACTATTAATAAACAAATATTTGGAGACACACACATATATACACATATATATGTAGGTATTTATGGATGTACATAAATGCGTTACAAAAATCTAAATAAGTTTTGCGTGCAAACATATGCGTGAATGTTTATAAAATGAATAGAAAACGAGAATCCGACAACGAAAACAAAATTCTATTTTAAAAATAATGTCGAAAATATCGATACGTTCCGCTACACGTCTTAAAGATTCATTTAAATGTCTATGAAAAGCATTCTAAAGCATAAGAGCTTAAAGTTTTCGATTAATGCTAAAGAGACTTCCAAATTTTGCCCCCCTCATGCCAATTCGAACTAACTTTCCACTATGCAGTTTGCGCTGCTTATTATAGTGTAGACTATATAGCGATATTTGTTTGAATTCCCTTTGAAGTGAAGACCTTCAAAAATATTCGTAAACTATTCGAACTCTTGGCAACGATTCGAACCCACAAGTCACAAGTGTGCACAACAATTATCTAATAAAAATTTGGGATGCACTTCATAAAGTCACGATACTGTAAAAGTGTGGCGGGTCACGAGCGTTTTAAGACTTCTCTTAACAGTGTTGAAAATAGTTCAGCTTATACAGAACCGCTTCTGGCAGATTTTATCCGATTAGTTTATGACATGTTAGATGCAGACCTGAACTTGCATTTTCCTAAGATGGGGTTAAATCCAGATTTGTCAAGACGAGGACATTTTACACTGATATTAAATAATGTGCATTAATTTCTATGACTTGATACCAACAGAGATTGATCGGCTTTTGGAGTTTACGCCAACAAAAAGGTCTCACAGCCCAACCAAAAGAAAGCGCTTGCGCCTTGGATGAGCAGTCTTTTAAGTACCACTCATGCTTTTCAAATAACTAAAAAGATTAGAGCGTCTTCTTCTTTATTTATTTTTGTGATAAAGCAACAAGAATCTGACTTTGTTCGCACGTAAGAACACTAAGAGCCTTTCTTCATGGCCAAGTGAGCTGGAAACATGAATTGACTATGCCCAAATTTAGCAAAGTTTATTTCTCTTTTCAAAGGTCTTATTAATCTTTACCTATTTTCGTTATAAAGTATCACAAAAATTATAAGCTTGTTTGTCACAGGGACAGCTGTACGAAAGGGGGTTTAAAAATTTGCCCATACGATTTATATTTCCCGCATAGGTATAATAATATGCCATAATACTATTACTCAGCGGATTTTATCGACAAATTTTGCAATTTACATTTGGCCTTATATGAGGAGGGGCCTGCAAAAATGGCCTGACAGAATCGATTTTTAACAACGTTGATCCTCGGGCTCAAAAATTGTTACATTGCAGGTTGAATATGAGAGTGAATAGATAGAAAGACAAGTTTAGAATGGTTCAGGCAATAAAAGGTGAGTGTATTCTAAGTTCTTCTGGATGTTTTCATATATCCGCACAAATCGCTGGTAGAAATTTTGTATTTTTATATTTTGACTTAAGCGATTTTGCCGCTCAATTATTGCTCTCTCTACTTGTTTATAATTTCGCCCGTTTGAATTGTTAATTATTTCTCTCTCTTAATTTTTTTCGTAAATATAACAAAAATAAAGGAATTATTCGCAAGCTTATCAAGTTTACAGTAAAAACAATAGGTGGGAATTTTTGTACACCGTTAGAGAAAACGAAGGTATAATAAAAATTTATTTGCGTTTGCAATGCTTAACAATGCGCTTCAGGGAATCTACAAACTGCATACATTTCGGCCTCAATTAACAATTTTGAACAAACGGTATCCCGTACAGTTTCATTATTAAAGTTTTCTTTTCAATCAATAGTTAATAAGCTCTGCAGCATTGATTTTCAAAAGTCCTCCATTTCTAAATACAAGTGTATCCGCCTGAGTAGCCGAAGGCGAGGAATCTCGACTAGCAAGTCAACGGTCGTGGGCTCGAATCTCAAGTGCGGTAGAGTTTTTAATAAAAGTCGATAGCCTTAGATGCTAGTGCTTTAAGAGTCTTAGAATTTATTTCTCTGGCGAAATTAAGAATAATAATAATAATAATAATAATAATAATAATAATATTAAATACAAGTGTAACAGAAATCCTATCGAAAATGTATTTCGCATGATTTTACGTTCGAAGAATTCGATCGGTTTGACTGGGTACTGGACGTATAGTCTTAAACTCATGTGTAAAGCATTTTGATAACTTTCACTCTCTGTTCTGCATTCAAACAAAATCTAACTAAAACTCTGTATTCATTAAAACTCTGATTTATCTAAGTTATTGGATATGTATATTGACGGCCCAAAGTATACTCAATGAGGATACAAAATCAATCTAAGATTAAAAAGAGGTCAAAAGTACACCCTTTTAATAAATAGCATATAAAGAGAGTCCTGACTGTGGCTGTATCTATAAATAGAATAAGGGTCAGTCGAAATTTCCCGAAAGAAATCTCTTAAATACCCTACATACCCTAGGGCCAAAAGTAAAGGATCTTACAAACTCAGCTTCATCTTACCCATTGATCCCTTCAAAGGACGATCGATTTTATCTTGTTTTCATTTCAGTTCCCAATATTGCGTAAGTTCAGATAGCCGCCTTTTTCCCACTTCCCAAAACTTTTACAGTTTTCCCTTTCAATCGTGGAAAATACTCGTGAAAAAAACTTTTTAATAAACCTAAACATTGCCCGCTAACCATTAAAGCCATCAAAGTACCACTTTTTCCCGTTCCTCTTTCAAAGAGTCACGCATTATGAACGAGTTAAGAAAATTAATATATCTTCTGATGATAGATACATAAATATACATACATACATACATACCTATATGCATACATATATATATACATGATATATCTAAAGAACAGATTCTATGAATAGGCACACATGCATACATTTAAGAGTTTTTCCAATTTAAGCTTAGAAATGTTTATTTGCTTTTCTTTACTTAAAAACTATGCTTAGTTATAAACTTCAACTCTATCGTCATCATCTTGTTCGGTGTTTTAATTCGTATTGACATGCGTGAACTTGGCGTCAGTATTGCTTTTAAAGTTATGCAATTGGTTTGTGTCAATTAGTTCAATTATTACCCATCGTCGTGCTAACCATTGAATACGAATTAAATAATTCCCGTTGCTTTTATTTTAGATAATCTGTGTCGCCGCTCTAATATATAAGAAATTAACTGATAATAAGGCGCGAATGATATTCTTACGTAATCGAAAAACGTCCAACGAATGGAATTTATTGCAGAATGTTACTTGGTCTCAAGAGGGCAGTGACTTTAGCATTTTCGCCTATGCTGGCTACACATACATTATAGCTGTCTGCTTGTTGGCAAGGTTGAAATAAATATTTTTATTACTCTCGACTACTAACTCTAACCAATTCTCCCTTCCACCAACCATCTTGCCTTCACGGCGGCGCTTTTTGCACTTTACTACGAAACCACATTTCCACAGTATTGACAAAGTCTTTAACACATTGACAGACAGTAGTGTAAGAAAAATTCGATTCAAATTCTATTACTACATCCCTTACTAATGGACGAGATGCGTGCATTACCCAAGAAGTCGTTAGGTAATAGTTAATAGTCTTATGTGCTAGAATTATTTATATTCAAAACCGTGTTTGCCGAGACCATAAATCTAAGTAAAAAATTCCTTCTTGCTAAGAAAAGAAAAATAATTGCACTTTAACAACATATTCGTAATTAGAAAAATTTAGTATAAAAGAAAACTGTTTTATATGTTTAAAATTATCTTCATAGTTTTCGTTTTGATCTTGCTTGATCTTGAATTAATCATATGGAATGTAAATTTAAAACCACAAATTATTAATCTTTTTTGCAAGTCAAGATAACATAGCGTAGATAATAATAATCCAACTTATATAAAATATGACTTCAAATAAACTTTTTCCATTTAATGATCGCTATTTCATCTATTTTTAACATTTCGTGTTCTAATTAGAACAATCTATCTGAAACGTGCAATAATTGACTCAGTTCTTCGGTGAAGTCATTTAATAAATCTTTAATAATTTAACGGTAATGACAAAATGAAAAGTTACCTAACTCCAGATACTTAGATGTATTCATCAAAGCTACTCAACGTTGAACATTGCTTTCCATATGGAGCACATCAAGCTTGACGAAAAAACTTTTAATAGATTGATCCTAAAAGAGCAAAGCATGATGAGCAAATGAGTAAAAGATGTGTTTTCCAACATACCTCAACTATACCGAATAAAAGTTCAATAGCCATAGTACTTGTGTACCGTAGTATTACGAGCCTTGAGACTAATAGAACAAACTCCGAGATATTTGCCTAATCGTACGCTTATCTATTCATTTTTCGTTTTTCATTCAATTTATATTTCCTTGCCTACGAATTTATTTTCATTCGTCGTACATCTGACAACAGTACTTGTGATGTATGGTAGGAACAAAAACGCTACACTAAATTATTGTCAAATGACAATAAGAACGCGTACGAGCAGACGAAGTGTCGATAACAATCTAAACCTCCTGAAGGAGCAATGTTTTTGCATCGCGTTGCACAATGCAATTAGAAAATACAAATAATGCGGATATCGTGACGCATTAATCATTACTTTGTTTATACAATTTTGCTTAAACCGTTTGAAGTTAACTGAGAAGTATTCGATGATTTACTCTAAGGTAATACATTAGGTTGGCGTGGAAGTTTTGCCCTATTTTAAATGAAACATTTAAATTTGAAGATATGTTTGATATGTTTTCCAACAGTCGAACAGTGGACGCCGAGTTCCTTTGCACTTGCAAAGCGGTTAGATGTAAAGTATTCTCTGACATGGGCCGCAAAATGTCATTCCCGAATGGATCGACGATCTTCTTTGAGATTAAAATTTTCGAAACGAAATTTGGCAAATTTTCTTCAGCAAACTTCACTATTTACATCTTCACTTGCCAACGTGTCACAACCAGCGCATAGCTTCCCTTTTGGAACTCAGACCAAGCACAATGTCTTAAACGAGCTTTATCCCTTCTGTCCTTCGCAACTATTTTGATCGATAGGTATTAAAAAGAGATTTCTTATATCCCACGCAAGGAGCCTTACGCATTCTACCTGTATGCCTTGACCTGACAAGTAAAAATATAATGGGTTTAGTGCATAGTAAACTAGGACAAAGCTTTCCCACTTTATACGCCTATTAAACAAAAGAAAAATGAAATAATAATAATAGCAACGATAATAATAATCGCATTAAATATTTAACTCTCCTTGCATTATTTCGATGAATATTTTTTAGTGAAGTTTTGTAAACGTTTTCAATAATTTATCACCTATAGCGAGTGCTAATAGCAAGTTGCATCCAAATTCCTTTGTATGTCGAACAGTTTTTAAAAGACACCTATCACGAGAGAATTTATAAGAGACGTTTGTTAAAGATTCGAGAAAAACAAGTTTAAAATTTTGACTATGCAAACCTTTTCTTATTACACTAGCCTTTTTATCAACTTTTTTCATAAGTCTGCAATCCCAGCACCGTTAAAAGATTTCTCGCTATTGTCTGCCTGTCGTCTTTTCTCGACGATTTTCTTGCTAAAAAATGCCCTTTACATTTTACGTGTTGCGAATATTGGCAAAACAATTTATATGGATCAACAGACGAATTTTAATTAAACTCAACATTTCCATCCCACGTCCCTTTCGAATCGCTGTCAATGTCATATCTACTCAGCGGTTGCCTTGATTCTAATGCACTCTTGAAACTATTTCCAAAGACACCTGTTCGTGTGCTGGGGAAGTTCAACAGTGGACGCCATACGCTTTAACTTCACAGTAGAGATTTATTCGCCGCAGATAGCATTTTCGACCACCAGGGATAAAGCTTTTCAAGGAAAAAAATTACTTTTATTTAATGAATTTTTTTCACACATTCTAGAAGGTTCAAAGCCTCCATTAAGCCAATCAAAAAAAAATTATTTTTCGAAAAATTTACACTGTTTTCCACATTTAAGGGATAATTTGGTTCTTCTCGCATAGAGTATAATAAATTTGTGCGGATGTGTCGCACACATCGATAAGAACGCAAGATAGACGCAATTTTTTTTTATACCAATCAACACAGGATAATTTTCGGAATCGATTCAAGCCGGACGGTCTGTCAACCATTAGTCCATGTACGCTCTTGCTCAGTCTGCAGGTGCATGTAGACAGAGAAAAGGCTTTTATTGAGAGAGTTACTGTTAATGTGATCAAAATTGGTGCCAAGCCCACTTTCATATGTAAATATCGTCATATTAATAAATCTTTCCATTTTTTTTTTTTTTTTGTTTCAAATTCGAGGAATGATCCTATTTTTAACGAGCACAAAGTCTTACCTTTGAGTAATGTTTTTAAAATTCTCTCTCAGCATTAGTAAAAAAAAACAAGTAAGAAAATTATATTCGGTCGTGACCGAATCTCTTATACTCATCACTATAATCATAAGACAGACAAAAAATCGAAAAGCTATATTTTCATCTTCTCGAACGTAAAGTAAGCGCCGCCGATTTTTTCTGCTTTCAGAGCAAAAGTTTTTGCCCCTCAGGCGTGCAAGCATGGTACGCGTGTCCTTGGAAAATTTTCCAAATTCTTTCACAATTTTGTAAGCGATCCTAAAGTTTGGTGCCGATCCAGTATATACATATTTTATAGGATCTCTGACGCATCCTTCTGAGTGTTGCAAACTGCTCTTAACAGGGAAGACGAAAACTACACATTAAATCAAGTCCGTCAAGTTGCCCTTACGACTTCGCTTTCATTCAAACGGAACTAATTATGAAGGCTTGCTATAAAATCATTTACAAAATCATAGTATTCAGAATTAATTTGTTACACTTTCTTCACTAAAAAAATAGTTAACCTTCATGCTGAACACCCTATATATATTGCATTTAAACAAAGTTATTAACGTGAGAACAATTTTAGGTTAATGAACCTCCACAAGAAAGCCTCAACAACTGATATACTGCTAATGCGCTTTGGTGTGATTATATTTCTATTACAAGGTAATGAAATACTTAAGCTTATATATACATACAGCAAACACACACATCCGCGCATACACAAATTCTAATATGCGACAAGAAACTTCAAGTTAAGCGATTCATTTATTTATTATTCCTCAATCACTTTCATTCACATGAGTATTTTAGTGTTTTTCGTTTTGTTTTTTTTCCCAAGGAATTTTGGTCTTTTACTCTGTGGAATATGTTCCCGATGAGATAAGATTGAATGCTTTAATCCTGGGCAGCCTGTCATTTCTGACGTGCGGTTTATTTTTGCTTGAAGATTGCCTAACCGAAAAGGAGACTAGTATCGAACATAAATTTATACAAACCGATGTACATTCGAATGTAAAAATAATTACAAAAACTTTTATTGAACTATAATTTAATTCTTTACAGAAACCATTTAAGAAAATTATATCCTCGATACCAGTTGAAAGGAGAGATGATGACAATATAATTCATACATATGTTTAAACGATTTCAAACTTCACTTACTATTATTTAAATTGCTTTGCATCCATGTTTTAATGAATTCAAACATTTTTGTCGTTTATTTAAAAGAAATTTTTAATTTTCTTAAACTTAAGGTTTATTTTTTATTTTAGTAATATTATTATTATTATTATTATTATCATTACTGTTATTATTATTAATTGTTTTTATTATCATCTTTTTTTTTTTTCTGCTATTTTAAATATACTTTTTCATAAGTGTATGCTATTTTCCATCATTAATTATAGGTAGCAGGTGTGTCTCTGTGTTTGTATACGTCTGCAGGTGTTTATTGTACAATTTTACACAAGTGTTTTATGCTGAATAGTTGTGTATAGCGATTATTTTATTTTTTATTTTTTTTCTTCTTCTTTGCCGATTTGTTCTTCTTCTTTGATTTCTTGCCGCTATCACTGTCCGTTGATTCGGAACGTTTGCGGGATTTCTTATCTTTTGATTGCTTCCGCTTATGATCGTCAACATCTGTATCCGAATCGGATGAACTATAATGTTTATGATCTGAATGCGGCGAACGTTCATGGTGTTGTTGCCGTTTATTTTGAGTTAATCTTTCACCTTCGCGAGAATGATGGTGATGATGATGATGATGATCTTTTTCAATACTATGACTTAATTTGTCAAAACGTACTGGCTGTTTATGATCCTTAGCTAATTGTGGATTGCGGCGATCTTTATCACGATTACGTTCTCTTTCGCGTTCCCGTTCGCGTTCTCGTTCCCTTTCGCGTTCTTTCTCACGGTCTCGGTCCTTTTCTTTTTCCTTTTCTTTATCACGTTCTCTATCACGATCTCTTTCTTTTTCCCGTTCGCGTTCTCTTTCTCTTTCCCTTTCTCTTTCACGTTCTCTATCTCTTTCCCTTTCGCGTTCCCGTTCTCGCTCTTTTTCTCTATCCCTTTCAGTGACCCGATTAGTCCGATAATTTTTATCATGCTCATTACGTTTGGCTACAATTTTACTATCAATTCCTCTCTTAAAACGTTCAGAATCCCTATCTCTATGATCCCTATATTCTTCATTACCACTGCTACGTTGATGATTATCGTTTGCCGCCACTTGTGACAATATAGGATGACTGATTTTGCTGCCTAAACGTTCTTTAATGGACTTCTTTTTCTGTTCTGCATGGTGATCACTTTTCAATTCAATTGAACGCTCTTTATTCATGCTAACCGGTAAAGTAATTTGTATATTTTTAATATCGTTTACTTCACCGACATTGCTATTAACACCAGTACTGTTATTGCCACTATAAATTGCTGAAGTACGTTCGCGTGAAGTTGACTTTTTATGGATTTCAATTGGTCTTATCGCATTGATAGCCCGAGCAAAAATCGCTTTTTCTGCTCGTACAATTACGTCATTGGTTACTTTTTCTGAACTATCGGTTGGCGGTAACTTCTCATCTAGCCTCCTCTCGTCAATAGGAGCCAAGGGAGCACCTAATTGCTCTTCAATTTCCCATTTAGATGCTTCGGGTACTAATTTCAAATTATTATCCTGAACTTTGAAATTATTATCATCGAAATCAGTTTCATATTCGTGAATATCCAGCACGGCTTCAAAGCATTTAATATCCGAAAGCGGCACTTTATCATCTGTTTCTAATTGAGATGAAATTTGAGATATTTTATTTAACGGGCTGTGAACTATCCCCTCTTCATTTGCTTCGCATGTTTTATTCTTTGTAGGTTTTGAATTTTCCAATACATCAAATTCTTTATTTAACTCTCGAGTCTTGTCATACATTAGTCGGTCTTCGCTCTGACTATTGTTGATACCGTTCATATCATTGCTATTATTGCTGGTATTGTTGTTTTGTTCACTTTCGTCCTTCTCCAGTTCATCGGTTTCATCTGATTTTTGCCTATGACGTTCTTTTTTAGATTTCTTTTCTTTTTTAAGTTTTTTATTTTCTTTTTTCTCTTTACGTCGTTTTTTGCGATCTTTCAATTTTTTTTCAGACTTTTTACCTTCGACTGATTTTTCCTTATGATGATCGAGTTCCGGCGAAACTGATTGCTGTTCGCTCACGTCCACTTTCAGTTCCGTTAACCGCGGCGGCGTCATGCTATGTCTTCGCGTTTTCACTTCCGTTTCAATGTGCTCCTTTTCACGTTGCGGCGGTCTCTCTTCACTCTTACGCTTAGCATGATGTATATGATTGACAACTTTATCCTTATCCTTTTTATAATTCATCGAATCCGATGGTTTTCCCTTCGGTGTGGTGCTGCGATTATAGCGTTTACGTTTTTCACCATAACGTAAACTTGAGCGTGAACGGGACCGAGTACGAGTCCTGGTACGTGATCTAGAACGTGTTCTCGATTGTGAACGCTGTTCGCGTTTATTCATGTTGTACATTTTATTCTCTTCCATATCTTGAGAAACACACTTTTCGTACAGGTCGGGTGTAGGATTGCGTAGGCCCCGATTATCGATTCGATTTAGATCACGTTGATATAAAGAGTGGCCAGAGGATGGTGGAGACATATTACTATGACTATGGAATGGATTACGGCTTGTCGGTGGCATTTCAAATCCTGGCGGTGGCGGCTCCGTGGTCTCGTCGTTGGAATTAAAAATTTTGCGATGATGCATTAATGGCTCCCTGAAATTTGCAAAAAATAAAAGCAATCAATCTGCGTAAACAACTTTAAAACGGTAATCGGCAATTACCTAATATCCGGTTTTCTATCTAGCGAATCTCTGCGCTTAATCAAATCCCTGGAATCATTACATTTCATTGCATTAATGTTACTTCTACTATTACCACGTTTATACCTAATGTAAAATTGAAAAAATGAAAAAAAAAAAGAAACCTTCCAAAATTCAAAGTATTTACCTAGGATTGTAAACCATTTCTTCCGGTTCTTCATGTCGCGGTTTCGTATGATGATATCTGTTGTATAATGAAAGAATAATAAGATTTTATTTGAACTGTGCATTTTATTATCATTTATCTTTTTCCTTTATAAACAAATGGTGTTACTTGCGTTCAATGACGAAATAAAAAAAATTAATGTATATAACTAGAACAACTAGAACTGTTTCGCTCAGTGTCAAATGTTATTGAAAAACTACTTACATTAATAAATTTTTATTTTTATAAGCAATATATGATCTTTCAATAAAACATTATTTCTTATGTAAATCCATTTAGTACTAAAATTTATTAAAGAATTTTTTACGAAGCTTTTTACGAAGCTTGCAATATTGAACGCAGGCGAAAATTATTTGTTGCTGATTCAAGAGTATGTCAAATACTTAAGTGGCATTAACATATTTTTGCCGTATAATTGTATATAACACGCGTCTACTCGCGATTTAACAGATCTTTTTAGATGTGGACGTCGCAGATAAATAGCCGACGCCTATGTCTCAAACGTTGAATACCCACCCACAATAATCTCTGCAAATGGATTAATAAAGAAGAAACTCTTTATTTACTATTGAAATTTTGAAACTTATATTGCAATGCCTGCATCATGGAAACGGTATTACTTATGTTGCCGCAAACACGCAATGTAACAACCATCTTAACGTTTTTGCAGAGAAACATCAACTTCATTTTGAAAACGAGGAAAAGCGCACGTTGAGCCTAAACGCACAAATATACTCCGATAGTTTGCGAGGAACTGACTAATTTTTCTGTTTAATGACCGCGATAATCGCTTGAGTGAGTAGAGCCAAGTCTTGCCGACAATCCTTAACAGTTACGATAAAGTTTCAACTATTCACTCATGAAGAAATTACTATTTTACATATTTTGCGTTAGCGACTAGAGTAAGTAATCGGTAAATTTTAAGGTACTCCACGTTATGCTCTAATAACATCCTTCTAACGCAATTTCATTTCACCTGTTCAAAAACAAAAAACAATCCCCCACACCCAGTATTATTGAGTACGGAAATTCTACTTTTTTACCCGAAGCCTGCGCAACTGGTAGGAGGAGACTTCAGTATCAAATTCTGATTCGATCTGGACCTCACGATCTACCCACCTGCGCTTATATGTAATATCTACATATTGTACACATTCTCCCGGCTATAAAAATTTAAACGTCGACTTCGAATTTGGCAAGCATATTACTATCTCTTGTATTAGCAATATGTGAAATCGGTCGGTACAGTATAAAATGAGAACAGCTCCGCTCTGGCCATTTTTTCCTTTTTACTCGTAAACTCCAATAAATGTAACGGTAAAAATTTTCAAGCATATTTTACGCGGAATCCCACGGCACTTGTACAAAAATGAATAAAATCAACCTCGCCCACCGGATAGAATTTTCTTTCGTATTTCGCGTACGGGATTGGTTAAAAAGTTTCTCATTTTAATCTAGGATTGAAGCGCATAGAACTCTATTTTCTTCTGACATTATATGATAGAAAAAATAGTTCACTTACTTATCAATGAAATTGTGATTCTTCATAATGGGCGGCGGTAGTAATGGCGGCGGTGATCTATAGCGTTTCGGAGAATGAGACCTGGACCTGCATAAGTAAAGAAATGTATAAGCCATTGGATAGATTTTTCCACAGTTTACCTGGAATTTCTCTCGAATGATTTGGAACGTCGAGGTCGATAACTCAATTCTCTTTCACGTTCTCTTTCTCGTTCACGTTCGCGTTCCAATCTATCGCGTTCCCTATCGCGATCCCTTTCTCTGTCCTTGTCCATATCCTTGCCATAACGAGGCCAACGTCTTTCAATTTCGCGATCGCGGGACCGTGCTCGCTTATCGTGATATCCTAAATCCTTAGGATTACGGTTATTATATGGTGATATACGAAACGGCCCACGCATATGACGTTCCTTAGAGCGACGTCGCCTATCCGGAGAACGGCGCTCATCTTTCTTTTTCTCTTTTTCCTTCATAATGCGATTAAAAGCCTCCAAAGGATCATCTATTATGCTGAAATCAAATTTTGTCGTAAAAAATCTCCCGTTTATTGATTGAATTTTCCTCATTGCATGTCTTACCCTACGCCAACTTTTGCTTGTACTTCTTCATATACGGAGCTTAAATTGTTGTAAGGTCTCATTGGGTTTGGTCCCTCCGGTGGCTCTCTTATGGGATAATTAAAACGATTAGGTGGCATATTAGAAGGCGGAAAACGTTGATATCTGTGAAGTACAAAAATCAAATTTTTATGGTATGGGTTTGTGAACAATTCTCAAGTCTCTAGGGAATTGCAATTGGTTTTCAATCCATTTCATTTTCCTTGTCACATATAGATGAATGGTGATTGAGATCGACAGCGTCCAAAGATCTTTTGATAGCGATCGGTAAATATTTTCCTTTTTGGTTCCCTCTTGTTTTCTAAGTAGAAGACTTACCAGCTTTCATTGGATCTGATAATTAAATTAATTCTCTCTTAAAGTTTCAAATGTCCTCGTTCAAGAGATTATTTTTAAATCTTTACACTTTACATAGACACACATTTACAAAGGGTATAAATTTAATACTTTATTAGTGAAGTTCAATTAAATACTAAAAAAATTTTTCTTTTGCTTTCTAACGATTCTAAGAAATTCTTATATTTTACACTACATTTGTAGTTCAATGTTGTTTGTGTTGTTCTTGTTAACAATGTTGCAACAATTCTTTCGCATTTAGTTGCTTTTCACTTTCTCTTACAAATAAAATAAAAAAAAAATAGTTTTGCTTTATATAAAATTAAATACTGTTGGTCTACAAAGTTGAGATCAAAAACAAGTAAACGAGTAGTTCTTGAGTAGCAGCTGCAATTGTTACTTGTTGTATATTAAAAAATTTTTATGGTTGTATTTTCTTTTTTTTTTTCACTTACAACTTACATGTTATTGTAAAAAAATGTAGAAATATTTAAAGATTTGTATAAACATGAATTTCATACAAATTGTGAACAATTATTAAAAAATTATGGGAAAATCAATAATCAATTGATAGAGAAACTTTATGCGTATGCATTAGTATACGGTTAATAACGTAGCTGAAAGTTGTAGAGCGTCGATAGAGATATCGCTTGTTCGCACCTCTAACCAGGCTCTTGGCTCTACTGTTAAAGCCTTTTAAATACGACTGAGTACGTGAAGTATATATATACATATATACATGCATACATACGTACACACACATATATGTATACACACTTCTTTTCTTTTGTGAGAATATTTCTAAATTTTCAAAATGTTGAAAAATAAGCTCACTTACCCCGGTGCCATATTGCCGATGGGATTGTAAGTTTGATCGTATTGGTTAATCGGCGGCATGGGCATACGTTGTGCTGGATGTGGACCTACTTGATGATGTGGTGGCATTGGATGCTGGGGAAACAATGGTGGTCTTGGCATTGGATTATGATAGCCGGGATGCATGTTCATAGACCGTATCGGTCGTTGTTGCATGTCGGCGTAAGGTGGATGCTGCGGTGCATATAATGGGGGTGGCGGCTGGTTTCCCCCTGGTGGCTGCAATGGATTCTCCAATAATTTATTCATTACTCGGGGCTTGTCATTTATGTAGCTATTATCGTTCATGTTATTATCATGATGGTCATGATTGCGATGTTTTTCCCTGGAGATATGGTCCCAGTCTTTATTTGAACCAGGCGGTTGCTCATGCGGCGGCCTATGACCACCACCGGTACCTTCATGATGATAAGGGAGAACCTGCAACAAAAATAAAAAAAATAGAAAATTATTCATACTCTATGAAGATCACCTCGTATCTTAAAGATTATAGGGAATGTTCTCGAGCTAAGGATTCGTCCACTAAAAGTTCCGTAAATCTTTCGCTTGGTCTATTCGCATATAAATTTGTGAACAGTTCAAAACATTTACTTGATAGTACTTCCCTACGGCAAGTCAGAAAAACAGCAAAGGAATTGGTTCACATTTAGCGGAAAGTAGTAGTACACATTTGAATAGGAACGTTCATTATTGGTTTACACACTAAGTTCTGCCATTTAAGACTTGATTATGAAATCATATAAAGTGTGGCTTCAAACATTGTAGCGAGAGGAAATTTCGTCAATCTTTTTAAAACAGTGCTATATTCGCTTAAAAAAATTTTATTGTTATTTATATATAAACAAATAAGTTGACGATGTATCCGAAGTGAACATTTTTCTCATGTGAATTTCTCGCTGCGAACATTTAATATAATGTTTTCTTCGTTATTTCTCCACTTCTATATTAAAACTTATCCATATACATCAGTCTTTATCAATCAACTATGCTTATTTTACCTGGTGTTTGCTTTTCGGAGAATTTTCTAAGCCTGGTGGTCTAGGATGCGATGCGTGCCTTCGATTAAGATATTTATCTGTACATGTATCTGATGCAGAAGGTACCGTTACTACTATGTTATCTTCGTAATCCGACTCTTCATGATTAGGACTAGAAGTTTCCTTCTCATCACTTTTAGTAACAGTAACAGATTCAGCAGGAGTTTGTGATAAGGATTCTTCCGATTTTGTTTCTTCCTTAGGAGTTGATTCTTCAGGCGTTTCGGCAGAAACTGAGGAAGTCTTTTCGCCTTGTGGTGATTTCGGGGCAATTTCAGGATCTCCGTCCTTCGATTCTTTTTCTTCGTCCTTGGGCTTAGAATCCTCTGTTATCTGTGATTGGCTAGCTTTATTAGGCTCAGCAGTTTCCACTGGTGGCGCTTGAGAGACTTTGTAAAGAAAAAATAATTATATGTGAAACAAATTCTTAAAACTAAATAAAAGAAAAATAATCAACATTAGCTTCTAGGGCTTCTTTTATTATAATTTTGCTTCATACCTTTCTTTGTTTGACCAGAAGCTTTATACCCCGTTCGATTTTTGAAAGCGTTCACTGAATTCCGCAAGAAACGATTTGGTATTAATGAACCGGGTGAGCTTCCCTTCTCTTTACAGTCCGGACATTCATTATCTTCAGATTCCAACAAAGCAGTACGAACGCCTTTTCCAAAAAAAAGAAAAATCGTCAACAATTGTGATTGCATAAATTGAAATTTCTTAAGAACTTACAATCGTCGCAAAAAGAACTACCACAACAAGGTATCATAACGGCGTCAACAAATAAATCATTGCAAATATTGCAAATTAAATCATCTGGTATTTCTTGCTTCTTTTCCTCTTCCACTATTGGTTCTTGACTCTCAATCATTAGTGCTCTGACAGTTAAAAATCAAATGAGGATTATTCAGTCAAAATGTTTTAAGAATATAAAATACGAACCGATCCTCTTTATCAATGAAGGATTTCGGGATGCCCGTAGTGCGCTTAATTTCGACATGTTCTTTGCTAACATTGTATGGACAATTTTTAATCCAATGGCCACCCTTTTTGCATTTATTGCAGCGGTATGTTAACGGTACCTCGCCCGTTTGGGAATAACCTCTTATTTTCTGATAACTAACGTAGTTAATGAACAGATAATAAAAAAAGCAAATCATTAAATCTCATAAGAGAATGGCTTTTAGTTAAAATATATCTTAGTTCAAACAAAATTTGAATTTGTTTTTTCTTACCTTTTTGGATCGTAATCTGCTGTACTTTGTAGCATCATGGCTTGAATTTTATCTTCTTCGGTACCTTCCATTTTTGATAAGTCAAAATCCGCTCCCTCTACTTTTGAAGTAACACGCGCTTGCATGGGTTTAGTTGTTGGATCCCAAGTCTTCTTCACCTGATTGACTATTGGCACACGCGATATTATCAATGAGGTATTTTTTGGTATCAAACTCGTGTCATGTTGATATTCTATGAATTGAGGTAAAAATGATGAGTTCTAATAGTGCCTCACTTTGAATATTTGTTACCTTCTTTTGTTTGAGCATTAATTATTTGCAAGTCGAAATCGGTTATTTTACTAAGCCGCTTTTGCTGTAATATGGCCTTCTTAAGATCCGCCACTGATATATGCAAACCATCAAACGTAATGGTGTCATAATCAAGTGTGCTTTTGAATTTGTAATGTACCGACATTTCCCTTATCTTGCACTTTGTTTTTCACTCGCAAGAGTATTTTTCAATGAGTTTTAAAAACTTTTCTCTGCTTTAGAAAACTTGTAGGTAAAATCTGATAAATTTTCCATATAGCATTAGATTACCAATTTTCGCATTTCTAAAAAACATTTAAGTATTTGGGTCAGCGTTGCCAGAAGTCAACAATCACGTTCACGTTGAATTAATGAAAACGAGAAACGGAAACTCTTTAATTAGGAGCAGGAGAAATTTTGAAAGTAATTTTTACGCATCTCTGTAAACTAATTTATAATAAAAATATAAATCACTCAACGAATCAGCCAGGCGCTAATATCATCTAAAACGCATACATAATTTTACACTGAGAGAGACATTTAATTTGTATACTTTTTTACATATATTTAAATTAAATTTATCCTCCATTAACAGAAAGCAATCTTAAAAAACTACCATATCTCTTTACTCGAGAAAGTGAGTAAATCTATTTGTATGGTTACTGGCACAATGAAGCGTTATTCCTATTTTCGAGTTGCGACTTCAACTTTGCCGACTTTTTACAATACTTTATGGGTGACTATACATACGAACAGAACACAAATAAAAAAAAGTACAAAAATAAATTTTGAATTTTAAAGTTGTTAACCTATTATTATTATTATTATTTTAATTTTAGACTATCACTAATGACTAGACTAATGAAATGAATTCTTAGACTAAAAAAAAGACATTGAGCACTAGCAACACAGGCTATCGGCTCTAATTATAAAAAAGAATAATAAAATGTACATTAGATAATGAGCTTAGTAGTATTAATAAAGTAATGTATAGAATTGATATTCTGTTCTGAAGCTGATTGTAGAATGTTCAAAGGGTTAATCGTTCCAAATGCAACTAACTATCGTTCCTCAACTACCCAAGGAAAAGTTGAGGCAGTCGCAGAGAATGTGCTTTGTAGTAAGAGTTTGTCCACAACAGCAGATTGGGGAAGAAGACTTCTTCAGGATCCATTGGTGAGTTGCAATTGTATGACCAA